TTAACGACAACATAGTCAACAGTTTGTAACTACAGATGCAATCTATTTGTAAATAATTAAAAGCCATGTCATGTTGTTTGCTGTGATAACTTTTTTTATGAATTATGATAATCATGTAAAACATTTGGATTTCAGTTGTTTTCAGTGACATGTTGCTGGCTTTATCTATATGTTACAATTACTGCCTAAAGGCCACGAGGTACTGTTTATATAAATATAAAATTGTATTATCTTAATTAATACATGGTATTTTAATTTTATTTTATTAGCATTTATTCAGGGTAGGTCCATCAAGAAGCCACCTCTATTATCAGGAACACCCTGATCTCATTCACAGTTATACATTCACACCTGGAAGTTGCCCAGTGCTGTACAAACACAACCACTGAGGAGCTCCGCTGAAGTAGTGGAGTTAAGGGCCATGTTCAAGGACACAAAAGTGGTGTTGATGAGGGTGGGGCAGGTGCTGCTTTGTCATATGTCCCACCCAGATCCAGGGACTGAACCAGTGACCTGCCAGTCACAAGCTCGCTTTGCTCATCAGGACCATCATGAATTTTAACTGCAATGGTTGCACAGTATTTGGCACTCTGAACTCTTTTACCAAATTTGAAATGTGCAAATTAACAGAACAAAATTTTCAAACTGCAACATTGTGTTTTAAGTTGCGACTGAAATGTTTTAATCCACCTCTTGGCCCACATGTATGCATTACAGTTGCGAGGTTCTTACAAGCAGCCTGCATTCATATTAACCCTACTGCGGCTATGTTCATTTACTTCTTAAGTGTTAGTATTTACACAGCCAAATTTAAAATTTGCAGGGCTGCAATATTTTTTGCACTCAATATTCATTTGCGACAAGTTTAGTAAGTATCTCCCTAAATATGCATACTGTGCTTTTTCTTGTGCACATGATAGTTGTTGCCAGCTTGCCCTGTGCAGAAATATCAGTCAGAAGAGATAGACCTACCCTGCTGTATTTTTCTTCAGGTCTCCACTACATCAAAATAAACCGGAAGGGACATTTAGTGCACAAATCTGAGTTCATTCAATTTACACTGAAGGACTGATAATAAAGGTTTTGATCGTAACCTGTGTTAAGTACTGTTGTGGGGTTTAGCCTGCCAGGTTTAAATGAATCTTTTTAGGATTTTAGATTTATTTAAATAAATTATAAAAATAATCAAAAAGTAATCAAAAGCATTAAGTTATATAAAATTGATGAAGTAATTGAAATAGCTACATTACTTATATTTTTAACAGGGTAACTACAATTCTGTGACCTATTAGCTGCATGTCAAGAGGTTATATTTTTGACAAACTCTACCCATACTTAAAGAGCCCATGGCTGCTCATGTTGTTCATTTCCAGCCATTTAATGTTTAATCTTGGGTACCTCTACATAACTTCTGGCACCGACAGCGATGGCAGCCGTGGTCACTCGCGCTCTCATGTGCTTGTTGTTTTTCTTTGTTTTCTTGGTCTTTTGCAACTCATCCTGGATTACTTTTACCAGCGAAGAACTGTTAAATATCGGACAACTCACACCAAACTACCTTCCTCCAATTTTTGTGAACGAAGAATGCTGTATGGACATTCTGATTGGAGGAGCAGCGGCAATATACGGGACCTGGAAAAAACGCCGCCATGGAAAGCAGGCGGGCGCCTTGGTGCAGTTACGACAGAGAGGAACCCGGACTCCACTCCCGTCTATTCACCTGGCAAATCTCCGCTCCCTGGTCAACAAGATGGATGAAATTCTTCTCATCAACAGGACCAACTCTGACTTTGCACGCTCTGCTGCTTTGTGCTTCACGGAGACCTGGCTGAGCGACCTGATCGCAGACAGCGCGATTCAAGTACTGGGCTTCCAGGTGTTCAGAGCGGATTGCGTAATGGAGCTGTCCAGGAAAACGAGAGGAGATGTAAGGTTGGCGCACGGATGTCACAGTGCTACAGAGGACATGTAATGCAGACCTAGAGACACTTTTTATCAACTGCAAACCCTTCTATTCTCCTCATGAATTTAACTCTTTCATTCTAACGTGAGTGTACATAAGACCACAGGCTAACGCTACTGCACTACAGCTCCTGGCAGAACTGATAACTAGCCTGGAGCTAAAACATCCCGACTCTCCACTCATTGTTCTAGGGGACTTTAACAGAGCAAATCTCCCCCACGAACTGCCCAAATACAGACAGCATGTTACCTGTCCCACCAAGGACAAAAATAACACTGGACCACTACTACACAACAATAAAAGACGCCTATCGCACTGTCCCCCACACAGCCCTTGGACTCTGATCACTGTATGGTCTATCTTATTCCAACCTACAGGCAGAAACTTAAAGCTGCAAAGCCTGTGGTCAAAACAGTGAAGAGCTGGACTGAGGAGGATAAGTCAGAGCTACAGTCCTGCTTTGACTGCACAGAATAGTGTATTTCAGACTGCAGCTGCAGACCTGGATGAACTCACTGACACTGTCACACCTTATATCTGCTTTTGTGAGGATGTGTGTGTGTGCCCAAAAAGACCTTCTGCACATACAACAACAACAAGCCCTGGCTTACAGTAAGACTCCTATGAAGTCCTTTGAAAGACTGGTGTTGGCCCACCTGAAGGACACTGTTGACCCCCTGCTGGACCCCCTGCAGTTTGCCTACTGGGCAAACAGGTCAGTGGATGATGCAGTGAACATGGCACTGCATTACATCCTGCAACACCTCGACTCCCCAGAGACCTATGCATGGGACCTCTTTGTGGACTTTAGCTCAGCGTTCAACACCATCATCCCAGACGCCCTCCACTC